CCGGCGAGGAATTTTTCAAGGTCACAGTCTTAGAGCATCGTGGTTCTGTTTGGGCCTCAATCCCCTCTCAAATTACATTCGAGAGAAGGATATAGGGTGCCCTGTACGTCTGAACAGACAAATACTCCACGTCATCAACCACCTAGCCTACTTGAATGATATTAAGATCTATAGTGGAGTTAGAACCGAATCAATTTTCAGATTTAGGGAGTTGCGTGTGTTTATGGTTGGCTGCTACCTTTATTGTTTGGACGCCTTCCGCTTTTGTTGAGTTTAGACTTTGTCCGGAGGTGGCTACCGCCACCCATGATGCAAGTGTCGCATTCATCGTGACCTCTTCATATTTCCCGCGGCCACGGCGGTGCNGGGGGGGGGGGGGGGGGGGGGGGGGTTGACGGGGGAAGCTAGGAACGGGAGGCCGAGCGTCCATGTTAGTCAGTCTGGTCTCGAACACAGAACGATTGGGATACCTGCGCTCGCACCTTTTTGTTTTTTTAGTTCATTCCATTTTCTTTTTTTGTTCTCACTGTTTTGAGTTTATTCATTTTTTTGTCTTCTTGTAAATTAATGGTCAAGATTCATCGTTTCGTTTTGATTCACGCTCTTCCACGTCTGGCTCGGCGATTGTCAACCGACATCTCATGGTTGTACTGGTACAAAATTGAAATGACGGAAAAGGAACCGGCACCTCCAAAAGTATTATTCTTGATTAAATCTTCTTCAGTAGCGTTCCTAAGTGATCAGGCGCCTTCAAATACGCACGTATGCAACAGCAACACTGATACCAAAAGTTTGCTCCCCTTTCATCTAACAGTGACTGTCATACCGCTCATGAAAAACAATGTGACTCCAGGCCATTTTTTTTTTTTTACTGGAGGAGGCATGACTGGGTGTCTGCGTTTTGACAGCCACTTGAAGTATCCTATCAATTTTAAAGTACCCCAAAGTTCCTTTTAACAAACTTTAATTGGTATCGAATCTTTAGAATGACACTGGCAAACAATTCGACGGCGTAAGTCGGCAATCACATACCTAACTCGGTTTACAACGTCGCAGACGTCCTGTCATACTTTATTTTTTAAACGAATAACTTCTCAACGGCAACTCCTTAAAACTGTGAGATGTGCAATCCCACAAGCTCTATGATTGGCTCATTGCCACTGCTCTCGGATTTGTTCTTAGTATTTTTAAGCTCTACGAACTTTGAAGAAACTGTCGGTTCTTTTTGCAATATCACAACTTGTTTTGTTTATTCGAGCCCTTTTTGTGTTTTGTCTGTCATTTTCTTAAAAACAAAAGTATTAATTCAAATGCTCGTTGTTCCTTTCATCCCTTCATAAAAGCTGTCGTGATTTTTCTTCTCTGTGCGAAGAGAAGTCTGTATAAACTTCAAGGAATGATGTCAATTGGCTCTCCTTTAAAAAAATTAACATAAAGGCGGAGATTTTCAGACGCCACGAACGAAATAATTTTGTGATTGCAGACCTGCGCCGTCGAATCACGAATTAAAATGAAATGAAGATAAAAATAAGCGGACAATTACTCATTTATCCGTCGGATTAGATGTTAGATGTTAAAACAATAACGATGCTGTTGTTGTTTGAAGATTCCGTGACGTACTAACTTTTAAATTTCCCTCCTAAACTGTTCACGATTCTTCCCGGGAGAGCGCGCGTTGTGTAAAAATGCCGGCCCGACGGCACGAGTTATGTGTTATTGGAATTGACACCGAGATATGTGTTTTGAATTTTACGTTTTTAGGTGACTTCCAGATTTTTTTCGACTGAAATATTTTGATAGCAGGTAAAGGGCATCTACTACACTTCATTTATGCAGCTAACTCAAAACCGACAAAAATCAAGTTATATGATTACCGACTTACACCGTTGTATTGTTTTAAACAAGTATGTTAATGATCTGAGTTTCTTATAAAAAAACTCAATAATGTGAGTTTTCCATCGGACGTGTTGGTCAACAAATATGCCCCGGTATTTAGCTTCTTAAATTTTAGTTAATCTTATGCATGTTTTGCAGTTGTTTGTGATGCAACTGGTTAGGTCGCATGGGTTACTGTGTACTTTAATTTCTAGAGTGTTCCCTGACATTCCTGCGGTACTTGTTGAAAATGCTATACAGTTAGATTTAGTAGAATTCATTTTCAATTTGTTGGCCATTAGCCAAAAATACGCTTCAGTGACAGCACTTGATGCTTTTTCATGAATTTCCTTCCAGCTATTTGCTGTAACTAACATTCTTGTGTCATCAGAAAGGAGGAGATTTCTCCTTTTTTCCACATTTCGCATAGCTCATTTACGTATAGAAGAAAAAGGATTGGTGAGAGGACTGTTCCTTGAGACAGACCACACATGCATATTAATTCATCACTCATCTTATCCCCTATTTTAGTTAGTTGTTCCCTTTCATGATTGTAGGTTTTGAATCAATCGTGCCCCACTCCCAGTTATTAAAAAGTAATTATTGCAGGTATTGAAATGTACACATTCTTGTGTTGAATATCAGGTATTGAATAGTCATTATTTTTGTGTATTATTAAGAGTTAAATACTGTTTAATATTTTTAAGTATGCACTTTAAATGAGACATATTAATATGTTATATCATTAAGTGCTAGGCGTAAGTCTTATCTGATTTAGTAGTTTTAGTGCATTAATTTTAAAAAAAAAGAGAAAAAAAGGAAACATGTCGATACAGCACCTATGTAAGCCTAGCCGCCCAGGCCTCCTGTGGAAGCGAGCCCTTCAATAGATGGCTGGCGTCCTAGCACCAACATACTGTCTTCTTCTTGCTTCCTATTTTCCGATGTCTTCACGGTCTCCTCAAAAGTATTAACAATACTAATACAGAAATAAATGACCAAACTCTCTTTGTTTTATAAGTATTTGTCCTTTTCCATACTGCTTACACCTATTTGGTGGGCAAAATACTGGTTACTAAAATAATGCCCGAGGTTAACACACATACACACACACACGCACACACGCACACACGCACACACCCTCAAACACACACACACACACAACTATGTGGGTCTGTTGCACCTATTTTTTTTAATTCATTTTCTAATAAAGTGCATCATTCTGAGCTTCATGAATTTTTCCCAGAATTTTTGGACCCCCCAAACACCCCAAAAAAGCACCCAAAAGTTCAAAAAATTTTGGCGGGAAAATTTAAAACTACAAATGACGGGAGAGTGAAGCCATTTTGTGACGTCACAACCAATACCCCACGTTTGTTTATTTTACAAATACATGGATTTCCCCATAAGGGATCGAGAGGAAAATTTTCAAAAGGAATTATCAGACTGTTAGAGGCCGTATTCATCAAATTTTCTTGCGATAATAGACTCTTTATCCTCTCTAGTTGATAAAAAAATCCCTAGTAACTTACAAATCGCATCAGATGATTTAATTATTTCCGATGCATCAAAGCATGTCACGAAAGTGAGGTTATGTTTACAATCTTATCTGGGATACATATAAGTCCTGTTTTCACGGTAAAACTCTCATATAATGTAGTTTTAGGTTCCTGATTCCTAGGAACTATCTGATGCAGCTTTCTGAATCTAATTCATTGAATGTTGGATCATTAGATTCTACTTTTTTGCATGAAATGTGTCTTGCTCAGCTGCGCTAGCTGACTAGCTGAGAGATCAACGTACTCATTTGAACATATTTACTTGTTTAAATCTGTCCGCTCATAAGTAAATAAGTTGAAAATACCATCAATTTTACGTAAGGTAAGATTCTCTGCCAACCAGGCACCAGCTATGAACTGTTGGAGGTCCTTAATCACCCGTCCGGTTGAGGAGTTACTACCCCTCCGGTTAGTCCAGTGCCTGTTTCGATGAATGTATGGTATTTTAATAATTACTTACAACTAATGATGCAAAGAGTATATACAAAAACTATATAGGTATGACATCGGGAGTAAATATTTAAGTCAATAGTTTCCATCATATTTTTAAAACTTCCAATGAAAGGTAGCTGTTGCAGTAAGCAGGACAGATCAGGAATACCTCACTCATACATCATTTGCACTGAAATACTGGGACAATAAGTAATCATTAAGAGTCAAATAATGAATACAAACTTGGTTTTACACAATATATCCGATACATGCGTTGATGTATTTGAGCAAACAGCATTGACTTGACCAGCAAAACCCCCTAAAGGGAGACATAACCACACTTTCGGGACTTCCTTACATGTATTAAACTTTAATATGATGCGATTTTAACATAGTCGTTGATAAATTTGTAAAGTAGAGGATGTGAAGAACTGATATCTGCAAGAAAATTTGGTGAAATAAGTTAAATATCGACCGAAATTCGTTTTAGAAAAACGACTTTGAATTCCTTATGGGGTAGCACAGGTGCGTCGAAACGGCGGGAAATAAGATTGCTGGTTGTGACGTAGACGACCAATGAGAGGCCTCCGTTGGAACTTTGAACTTTATTTAGCTTTTGCAGCTTTAATATCAAACTAAGAATGTTTTTAACCACACCAACCGTTTTCTCGTGAAAATTTACATCGGAATGACTCATAACACTCCAAATCCCTCCTGAGTGCAACAGACCCATTGTGCTCCCAAATCTTCAGTTTGCATCATTTCCATGCACGGAGCTCCTGAATGGGATTTGAATCGAAGTTGATTCTGAATTAAATATTTGGTCAGGGACATAAGGGGAAGAACTACGAGTTCTAAAACACAATTCCGAAATCGGTTGTCAATGCTTCGCGAGAAATAATCACGATTTTCTAGCGTCTCAAGGGTTTTTACTGACAGTGAAAAGCTCATCTGTGGCATCATCAAATCCGCCCCCTTACCCTACTTCCTCTTGAAATGATCTCAATTTTTAATATGTTACTCTGCGGCATGAGGTATAACTTTCCTGATAATTCCGTCTTTTTTATACGTTCGCAGGCTGGATGTGCTGCAAAATTATTTGTAAAATTTTTTTCTTATTTCTTGCCCCATCAGATTCCTGTTAGGTTAACACCTATTCCTGTTTTTGCTGATGAGGACTACACGCTGGTAATAAATCTTCATCGTCTGAACAGAACAAAAGAAATTCGTGTTCACTCCCCAAAATTTCCAAAACCTAAAGATGAGGGATGGTTTTTAACTTTGGGAACCATTGAGGACAAACAATTACTCGCACTTAAAAGAGCAACATCTGGAAAACATCAACTGGTTTTCCGAAGCTCAAGTTTTCCAGGTTTGCCAAAATTTTCTCTCTAAATTCAATTGTCAGCTTTATTTCTTGATTTAATGTATGTTACCTGTCCAAAGACATAAAGATGGAGGGCTAAAAGCAAAAAATGAAGCTTCTTTTCAACCACCTCTACTATTGGTTAGAGGATTGGCGGCGAAATCGGGACAAGTTTGAAATTCCAATGTAGGGCAGGAACTAAATAAAATTGCGGAAACAAAGTATTCTAGGTTGATTTTTGCCAAAATTCACTTACCCACTCTTATTTCTTTTTAACTCTAGGTTAGTTTTGGTCCGTCGTCGACCAATTAATTTCATCTGGGAGTAACGGTTATCTAGGACTGTAACAGCCTGTTTGAACTGGCAGGACCATCATGAGTAGAAGAAAAACTAACTTTATCTGAGATTACTGCCTGTCACCGAGCAAAAGTAGCTGTATTATAATAGGACGCAGTCCCAACTTTCTTAATATAATCGTTTTAGGCTTAAAGCACGTTTAGAAGAAGAAATGTGGAAAAATCAAGAGGACAAGTTCGAATCAAATTTCCGTTTGTCGCCATGAATTCCCGCGCTCATTTACACACTCACACAAGTACCCAGCGCTACCAAACCAGGCTTCACTTTTTCCCCGTGCTTTTAGATACGAGCACTCCGTCTTTATGTCTTTGTACCTGTCAGAATGACACTTACAGCGATGTTATATGCACACTGCTTATGACATTTGTAATATAAGGCAATTTCAACTCCGGTTTGTATAATTTTAAAGACAAGCCGAGGGAAGGAGCAGAGATCCCAGCATCAGAAAAAGAGTTGCCCTTAGTCACTTTTACAACCTTTACCTTCAAACTCAGAGGGTGATGCTGGGATGGTGCTCTGAGGTTAGGTTAGATAGGTACAGTTAGGTTAGTGCCGGTGGGCTCTTGAGTCTAACGCCCTAAGCCGTATGTGTGCCATGTGAGTGGAGGGCCACTACCTGCGCCTACAGCTCTAAAAGGATGAGGCTGCGATGTCAAATGGGCGGCTAACAGGGTGGCTAGCGACTGGGAAAAGTCAGAGAATTTCGTAATCGGTCTAGAAATTTTTCGTGGAGCTGGTTTCCACGTAAAAATCGGGTCTGCGACGGGGCAGGTGATCGCGTTGTTGTGCGGACGTTTTCACCACATAAATTGAGTGCCCGTGCATTATCGTAAAAAAGTCAAAGACTTTCATTAGCAAAAGTCACAGAAGAGTCTAGGAATGATAAAATGAAATTTTGCCAGCCACCTTGGACTAATATCTACTCACCCTGAAAAGCAAAAAGTATTTTAAAAATATATTTGATATTTTTTCATCAACATCTTAAAAACGGTTTTAAAATGTTGCAAGGAGCCTTGGAATATACTGCAAAAATATAGTAATGGAACATTTTTTGGCTGCCAATGGCAATAAGATATTTCTTAATTATTTTCTATACCGTGTTGACAATATTGCATCAACAGTTTGATTGTATATTTGGGGTTGTAGTGAGGCAGCAATATGCATTGAATAGTAAGCGCAGTATACCAACTAGTTACAGAAGTATTATCATATGTCTGCATTTTGAGTGCTCGCTAACAACGAACTGCTCAAGTAACTTTCAAGTTGCTAACTTCATTTAAGGAGTGCTCTTCGACATTGTATTTACAGTCGTTGATTACGTATTAAGCTTTTTTTTAATTAAGTCGGCTTTTACCTCCAGCTCCAGCAACGGAGAGTAGCGTAAAATACCCGGAGCCTCCGCGTAGATTTAAACTCGAGTCGCAGCAGTGACAGGGGAAGACTTTCCCACCAGGCCATGGCCGGTAGACGGAAGAGGGCAGCGAATTTACGCTTGTTAAATGTCTCGACGCTACCAACTTACATTGCATAGACTCGACTCACACAGAGTTGATGTTGCACTTTTTTTTCTATTTTTTCCTCCTTTTATTTAATTTGAGTGTTCCATCACAGTTTAAGATATAATGAGCTTGCTTATTCTCATTAAACTCCACCACTTTACCACCTCACTTTCCTTGTGTATACATAATGTGGGAATGAGTAGAATCCTTGATGGACACCCCGCTCTCTGTGGTGGGTATCCATTATTAGAAGTTTAAAGAAGATTCTAAATGAGTACCTTACTAACTTAATTTACTTCTCCAAAGTTTACATACAAAAAATTCCCTAGCTTCAGTGTCAAATGACCGTCTGGTGTGTCAACCATTTCTTTACAGTTTTTTGTTCTTGATTGCTTTAGGTTTGCACAACCTGACGTTATACATAATCTCAGATGCTTATTTGGGTCTCGATCAACAGTATGACATTTACCTGGATGTTCAAATATCTACAGAAATGGATCTCTCAAAGCAAAAGAATAGCAAGTAAATTGTATTCCTAATATCTGCTGTTAAAATAATTCTTTGATAACCTCCTTGTTGTCTTCGTTCTTGATAGTTTTTTTTATCTCATATTTTACATTTTAAAGATGACATGTCAGATGTGACCTAGGCGTTTTTCAGAATTTATTTTCATGAATAAAGATCATAGCAGCAGCTGGTTTTTTTTTTTTTTTATTTATTTATTTATTTTTGTAATTACACATAAAGAATTACTAAGTCTTTTATTACAATAGAATAGGGGTAAACACCGCTTTATAGATAGGGGTACTTATGAGGAGAGATGATGGTGGATGGATGATAGAAGATGAAGTGAAAGTACAAATCTTGTAAAAAGCGGGAGAAAACTATCTAATACTAACTATAACAATTCCTAGAACTAAATGCCTAGTGAATCTTTTTAATAACAGTGCTTTCGCCCTGTCAGTCGACTAAGACTGTGGGGGCCAGAGGCACGAGCCTAACATCGACGGAAATGAGCCGTGCTCAGCTCATAAGGTCTTTTTAGCCTCTGGGTATCGGACCCCCAGTCCAAAAGCGCTATCGCCTCGGGGCTGGGATGCCTGCCTAGTCGCTCTTCATAGTTATTGTACAGTTGAGAAATGTACATATCCATTTCTTCTATTCCGAGTTTATCTCTAATATCGATGTTACGCCCGTACCACCTGGCCCCTGCCCTTTTGCCTGAGAATCTTGTTTTGGACTATTTCGATAATTTTTAGGTTCGAACTGGCGGCGCACGCCCAAATCTGAGAGCCGTAGGCCCAGATTAGCTTTGACATTGTTATGATAGTGATCTGGTATATCATATCTCATATAGAGAGCGCTGTGCTCTCCTGTACACTACTGTGACCGAGGACGGCCGGAAGCCATCCAACCCAAAAGAGATTCATCATGGCTGCCTAGCTATCGTCTTGTCTTTTCGTCTTCTCTCCTTTCCTTTCTTGATTAGGATTGCTCCTATTCAAACATGGTGCCGAAACCCGTTCTCCGTTCGTAGTTTCGCGAAATCGGTAGTTTTGAGCTCTACGCGTAACCTTTTTTCGTCGAACACGGCGGTTGAAAATGCGTGCGACATCGAACTTTAAAAGTGCGTGCTAGCGTACCAAGCAGTGCGGCATATTTTTTGAAGTCCGAAAGTGCGAGATGAATTCATTCATCTTCTTTTGAACTAGCAGCAAATGCTCTCGATGTGCTAACTCGAGCTCTCTCTTTTTAATTTCACACCAGAGTGCTACCTATGTGTGTTGAAATCAATATTCTGTAATCAGTTGCAAGTGGCCTATTTTCCTTTATCATGCAAGACACGACGAATGATGCTGCTTAGCAATTTGCCACAAACTCTCGTTCTGTCTTCTCTGCGATCAAACCTTTTCAGCCGAAAGGCAACATTAGTGTAGCATGTAGAGAATGGAGGACGAAATTCGAAATTTTTCTATCCGCGACCAACATCGAGAATGAATCCGACACTAGAAAAAATGCTCTTTTGCTGCACCATATCGGCGAAGAAGCCAACTCAGTGTATTATTCCTTCAACAGGAAAGCCTCCTCCTCCTCCTTCCTCTCATAAGGAGATTAAACATGATGCTTTAATTAAGAAATTTGATGATTTCTATTCACCGAAAAGAAACGTAGATATTTCAATTTATTTATTTATTTTAGCAAGCTCCGGACGAATCCATCGAGACGTATGTCACGAAGTTAATGAACTTAGCCTTAAATTGTGAACTGATAGAGCAAAACGACAAAATCGTGAAATCTGTCTTTGTTGCCGGTCTTATTCCTCAGCACGATGACATTAGGATGCAACTCCTAATGAAAGAGAGGAAGCTGGATAAAGCGGTGCTGTTTGCTCCGACAATGCACGCGTCACAACTACAGTCCAAGTCGATGGAGGAACCGGCCGAAAATCAACTGGTGAACAAGGTGGAACGTGGAAGATCCAGCAATTTCAGAGGACGTGGAAGGCGTGGGAGAGGCAGTGCTACCCGTGAACTAGCAACATCGTCTAACTTCAGCGGCAACCACAATCCTAAACACGGACATCAATCCAGCTTTGGAAAGCAGAAGTCCTGCAAATCGTGCGGAAATTCCATCCACTACAAAAAATGTCCTGCCATAGGAAGAAACTGCTCCGTCTGCGGAAAACCTTATCACCTGAAGAGGGTATGCAACAAGCGAAGCGTCAGGCTTGTGGAGAAACAATTCTCCAGCGATGAAGACGACTACCAATCGACGGACGATGATGGACCTAACCTCTTCATTGGTGCTGTTAATGGGGTTCAAGATGAACAATGGTACGTCACCTTGAATGTTAATGACTATTACTGCAATTTTCTTTTGTAATAATGCAACAAGGTAGGCCAATAGCATATGCATCGTCTGCTTTAACAAAATCTCAGTCCATACAAGACCAAATTAAAAAAGAATGTTTAGCTATTTTATTTGGTTGCACAAAATTTCACGACCACTTATTTATGTCCCGCGTAACAGTTGAAACTAATCACAAACCCTTAATTACTCTTTTTAAAAAAGAAATCAGAAAATGTCCAATTACATTGCAAAGACTAAGGTTAAAGTTATTAAGGTATAAATCGAAGTTGTTTATGTTCCTGGTAAACGTGTGTATATTTCAGATACTCTGTCTAGAGCTCCATTAAAAAGTGCTTCAATAATGAAAGCAAGTGAAAAGGAAACAAATCTACAAATTAATCTTGTTATTAGCAATCTTGCAATCTCAGATCAAAAGCTTATTAAAATAAAAGACGCATATAATAACGATCCAATATTACTAAAGGTCATTGATTACTGTACATCAAAATGGCCAACTAAGGTGAGTAAAAAATTAACCCCCTACTTTAACTGCAGGGATGAATTATCGTTTCATGATGGTATTTTATTTAAAAATACAGCAATTGTAATTCCTGAAAGCCTGAGAAAACAAATATTAACAATTATTCATGAAAGCTATTTTGGAGTACAAAAAAGTTTGAGTCAAGCTAGAGGATTATAGTATTTTGGCCAAAGATGTCTAAAGAAATAACTGAACTAGTACAGCAATGTCATATTTGTAATTTGTTTCAGAATAACAACAGAACGGAAACTTTGCTGCCTCATGAAATAGCAGAATACCCATGGCAACAACTTGGCATGGATTTCATGGGATTAAACAAAAACTTGTACCTGATAGTAATAGATTATTATCCGCAATTTCCTGAATTAATCAAAATTAACAATACCAAAGCAAATACACTAATTGTTCAACTCAAATCTATGTTTGCTACGTATGGCATTCCAGAAATAATCTTCTCTGACAATGGCTCTCCTTTTCAATCTAAAGAATTTCAAGAATTTTGTGATGAATGGTCAATGATGGTCAATGGTCAAATATATGGGTGATTTCACCATAACAGGAATAGTTAAAATGTGAAATACCTTAGAAATAAAAGTGCACCAATTTTAACAGGATTTCATTACCTCATTTTAAAGGTATTAAACTTCCTTTTTCCAGCTTTGGCACGCGCTCTATTTTGATTCAGTGCAAAGTTATAGTGATTGATAAACAAGCCATTGAATTAGGTATCAGCGCTTCCCGCGGGACTGCTGGAGGTCCACGCAAACATGGCGGCCCTGCCAAATTGTGTCGGTTACGTAACAGACACAGCGTAACCGACACTCAAAAATGTGAGATTAAAGATGATACAAAAGATGAAACTTGGCAATTCTTGAGTTATGAGGTGGAATTAATGCTGCCTTAAAAGTTTTCTAAACTTTGGAGACTTCCTTTTAGTTTAATACTATTAAATTGAGGTTTTTGCGTAGTGAGGAGTTAGTGCTACACACGTAAAAATCACTGGTTTTCATAATAATTAAAGTTTTCATTGTAAAAAAAACTGGCTTATCAGTAATGGTTTTGTCAAGAAGACTTCAGCGAACAATTTGATGGCAGTTTTGAAACTCCTGACTCCATCTGGCGAGATAAACACTGCACTTAATACAAGCACTGCTCTTTCTTATGACTTTTCTCGCTCAATAATAAACATTTCAGTTCAAACTGGCAATTTTCTTGAACACTAGAGTCTCTTTTCAGCAAATATTGCCGAAGAGTTCATGATCAATACTGATTTGTTACCGCAAATTGCTCTTTTGCTTCAAAATCGGGGTTGGCGACGCGTAACCGACCGGACATTTTCGGCCTTTAAAGTCTCATATTATTAAATATAATAATAATTCATCATATTTTTTAGCATGGATAGGTTCAGGGACATCATTCCTATTGATTAATTAATTTGGTTTTCAATCGTTTTGCCCTAAGTCGTTCATAACCCACGGCGACACGACTATTCCTATTATCGTGAAATCACCCATATCATGAATCTTTCCTGTGAACTTACTCCAGAAATTTAGTTTCACTTATAAAAATTGTGGCTTAAAAATTTCATTGTTTTCTAACGGGAAACGTAATGCTTCGATCTAGGATAACTGAGAAAAAAAGGGGGGGGGCGTTATTCGAGCCTTACGTAATTTTTAGAGGGGGGGAGGGGTTAAGGGATGCCTTACGGTGCTGCAGAAGGAGAAGTATGGGGGTCTAAAAATGGGAGAAAGGTCTTACGTAATTTATTCTGAAGGATGTTCACTGAACACTATGTTACATCAATTTCTGTCTGGAGTCTGTTTTTCCCTCCAAGAAAAAACAAGTTTATTGGACGGCCCCTGTATACCCTTATACAGGGACCCTGAACCTTGGATCCAGAATTTTCTCTGAAGCAAGAGGAGCCCTTTTTAATTACGTTTCAATAAAAATGTAACCCTCACTCTTATATTTTGGAAAAAATAACCCTTCGATGCCCTACGCGGCATTTATAAAATAAGATCAAGGCGAAAAATATAACCTCCGGGTGGGCGCGATCCACTAGCCTCCACGACCGCAGGCAAGCTTCTTACCACCAGTCTTCACCGGTGCCATGGAGCAATTGGCGAAATTCCCAGTAAATAAGACAAATAAAGTTCTATCTTTCTCCACTAGAGCTGAGAGTAGAGACGCATCGGTGACACGCTCTTGCTTACTGATGATCTGCTGCAGGATTTTTGTCAACCCTATTGTCTCTGACCCTAACCTTCCGAGCCAAGAATGAATCTCTCCTAAACTCAAACGCCCACTCGGGACCCGGCCATGGACCACCCGGCCGCCAGAACACCGCGACAGGAGCACTTTTCTCGATTCCAGCAGAATCTTATGCTGGTGATTTTCTTTCCGAAAAATGTGTTGAAAAATACTGATCCGGCGAGAGCTGAAGCGCGACCGTCTCGCTTCAGAGCACAACAACGAGTGAGCAGCAGATGTATATAAAATCAAAACTTACATAGAGTAAAGAATGCAACGGAATGAAGTTGGTAACAGAGCAACACTCAAAAATAATTATCATTGAAGCTGACAAGAAAATCTCAGGTGTTGACATGTAAGCTCTACCTTTCGGATTAGTTTGTATTCGTGCATGCATTTTTTACGCTAATTATAAATGCTGACTGACTTAAAAACCTACAAAAAGTCATCTTTATAATCACCTTTCATTTCTATGTGAAACTTTTACCAAAAAACCATGCAGAAACTAGTAACAAAAAACCAAATGTTGCTCTCTCTGTAAGTCAGCATTCATTGCGCTGAAATGTGCTGGGAAAATGCCAGGGTCCCATCTGGTACATCATCTTTGAAGTGACATAACTTCGCAAATTTTCAAGTCGAAGACCTGCAAAAGATCTAGTGCTAAAGCTGAATTTTCAANTTTTTTTTTTTTTTTTTTTTTTTTTTTTTTTTTTTTTTTTTTTTTTTTTTTTTTTTTTTTTTTTTTTTTTTTTTTGGTGCTAATTTTCTATGAGTTATAGGTACCCTTAACTTCTCTGTTCCCCAAACTTTAATTTTGCAAAGTTTAATCCAGATTTTAAGTCAGGATAATTTTCTACGGTTGACTCCTTAGAAAATAACAAAAAACACTCCAGTGCAAGATGAATCCACACAGGTCAGTCCTTGTGCCTCTTTTTGAAATTCACACTTCTGTACGGCCCTTACTCGACCGCAGCCAGTCTGACGCAGCACTGGCTTTTCGTATACTGCATTGCACTGAAACTTCCTACCATCGAAACCTAGTAGGGCCTCAAAACTCATCCATGAAAATGAATAACCTGTATGGATTGGTCTCGTTTCTATGCATCTCTTGTGGATAGGTTTTTACTCGCTTTTCACGAAACCAGCTCATTGAGGCTAATTCATGAGAACAGGCAGCAGTAGACATCTGCAAAGTCTTCGGCTTCTTTCAGACTCTCAGTCGGTTCAGATCTATCAACTAGATTAGCTGTGGGTATTTAATAGCCCACTCACTGTCATCCTACTCTCCCCCCCCCCTTTCCTCATTCTTTTTTGGTGTAAATGAACTGATTTAAATTCTTTCTTGTCACAGACGTAATTCAGAAACAAAAGTCCGACGCGACAGACGAATATATCAAGGATGTGTGTGGCGACTGGCTCACACAGGCCAAATTTCGCCTTCAGAGAAGGTAAGTGAGGGAGAACCAGAATATTTTAGTCACGCCTTTTCTATCCACATTCGTTCCCCTTTACAATCATGTGAAATTGGTTGGGGGATTGGGGGAGGGTTTGTTAGAAACTTTTGCCAGAATGAAAATAAACGTTGTGCCTCATGAAAGCTGAGTCAAAAATCACTGAGTGTCTGAATGTGCGGTTAGGACGAATTTTAGACTGCAAATATGTTCATCGTAATTTTTAATCCATCTTCCATGTGATGCAATTTTTTTTTTACTGTAACAAAAGTTTGCAGCAATTTATTTTTAAGTTAGTCTCTTAGATTTCTATTGCCCTATACTGGAACTGCAGTTCTTATTTCTGGAGTTAAAAATGTATCTGTCATCGGTAAATCACGGAGGCTGAAAAGTAATAATATGTTAGAGGGTGGATGAGCATTGTTTTATTTTTGGTTTACTGCCTGCTTCAATTGTTTGATTTTTTCACTCATTGCATATTTTCTGTTGGAAAAAAATTCCTCAGAATAAAGCGATATACACTTTGCGGTTACATACTTTTCGATAAATTATCGTTGAGTATTGGAACTGTGATTTTCATTTGAGGAATTTAAAATTTTTCTGTCATCCAGGAAGCAGCAAAGTAGGAAAGTTAGAGGCTGGATCGAATTTCTTTTATTTCTTGCCAACTGCTCATTTGCATCGACTGATTACTCTTTTCACTGTATAGTTTTCATTTTTTGGCAAATTCTATTAAAGCTATGATACAAATAATTTGTAACTTATGATCCTGAAGAACATTCTGTATCCCTGCAGGGATGAAACTCTCATCCTTTAAAAAGAGATACAAAGTTGTAATGTTGCAATTTATTATTATCTGGACATCTCATTTTTAAAGTATTTTCATTTTAAATTTGTCTGTTATTTTAGGATTGCTCGAGCGGCCAAGAGGGCCAATAGTGCAAACAGTAACCCTGATGCTGAGCCTGTTGATACCAACAGTGCGAACAGTACCCCTCCTGCTGAACCTGCTGATACTGTTACTGTCACTCTTGAAAATGATAATGTCTCTCTTCAAAATGAGTCTAATGATATTAATGACAACGCCTTACAAGAAAATTATTGAACTTACAAGAAAATGTCGAGGAAGTACTCTCACTTTTCTTTTTGTCACCACAATAACATTCTTTTCCCTTGCTTGTACTTTTTTTGTTTCTTTTTTGAAATTTCTGTATCCTCGTTCATTATTCACCAGATTGTTGTAATGTAGCAGGCTGATGGTGAAATAAGTCATCAAATTCTGACAACTCACAAGGATTCAGTATATTTACCTCAGAGTTATCAATTTTTCTGTACCCTTCAAGTGAGAATTAGATCAAAGCACTGACCATACTAAAATTCTACCATTTCCAATATACATCATGGGTTCCCATAATTTTGGAACATTATTTGTATTTTGATGAATGCCCACTAATTAGATGACTCACGCATGAGAAAACATTAAAATAATCACTATTTCAGCAAATATTATCTTTTCAAAATGATCTCAGTTAGAATCTATTTACAGCTTTTATATTATTGAACAGTAAAAAACCAAAACTTTCATACCAGGAGAACATCGTTGACTTTTTCGTAGGCATTCGACTAAATATCCTGATTCGACTATTAGTATGCAAGAGACATACAATTACATTGCAAATTATATTCTTTCATGCCAAAAAGTTTGTGTAGAAAAATTCAATAACCGTACGTCACTTGTTGAAAATTATACAAATGTTGATGACGTAAAATGTCACAGATGAAAACTTTGAGGAAGTTTTAGTTAATGATGATAATGTAGAATTATGATTTGATATTTTTTAATGTATGTCAAAGTTGTCCGTTTTTTATTTCACAAGTACATTTTTATTTCTTGTTTGTACCTATTGGTTTCTTTTTTGAGGTTTCCATTTCCTTGTTTTTTGCTCACCAGATTGCTGTAAATTAATTTACATTTAAAAAGATATTATTTCAGGCCAAAAACTGTAAACAACTTATTCTCTGTAATTTTAGTCACTTTACTCGAAAAATGAAAACAAATTTGCTGACGGATTATTTTTTAAGGCTATCTAGCTGCAAATTTTTTAATTTCAACTTTCCAGTTAAGTCTCTTAGGAAATAAAGAATTAGTTTACCTACGGAATAACAATGGATTGAGCTTACTGTAAAGGAACCAGTCAACATTTCAAGAAAAATTAAGCTAAGAGTAGTTTTGAGTTTAATAAGTCAAACTTATTCCTTGTTGATAATTAATTTCAGAATCAAAGTATGTAGGCTGGGTAAATAAGGGTTAAAATTTATTTTTACATTGCAGTCATGGAGGAATGGAAGCTCATGACCTGCTCTTTCTTTCAGTTTCAAGTTCACGCACTTGTCGTTCATTTCTGCAACCTTGGTCAAATTAAAAATAAAAATGTAACTTTATTAGTGCTTGTCTGACGGGCCACAGCTATGTGAGCAGGGATAGGGTTTGATTTTTCGTTTATACCCGAAAACACACTTTCAATGCAGCCTTTCAAAATCTCTGATCTACATTTTATAACAATATTTCATGTAATATTGGAGAATGTATCTTTTCCGACTATTATGTAGAAATTATGCATTATAATTGATGTTGTTTTGTGAGGCATGGGTACGTGAATTGTTTGGGCATGAAAACACATAACCACATTGCAGCATTTCCAAATTTCCTCTTTTATTTTCAGATCTATATGGAAAACAATGTTTCCTCAAGTGCAATTTTGTAACCTCAGCTTTTAAAAAGCTGGTGCTGTAAAATGACACCCAGAGAAATGCTGCTTTTCCTTCTAAACTGGAAATAAGAGTAGAAATTTTGAAATATGGCAATGCGGTTCTGAATTTTTGCGCCCAAACCATTTACCTATGCCTTCTTAGAGTAACATCAAGATTACTGCAATATTACATCAATACTACGAAGAACATACTAGTATTGCATACGTATTGTCAGTGTCAAGATAGTATTGCATACATATTGTCAGTGTCTTGCAGTGTTCTGATGACCTTGTCATAACCCTGATTCCCATATGAAATCATCCTTTTCGGCCTATACTGTGACAATATTTTGAAAGCTCCAAATCAGTAACTAATAAATACTGACATAGTCTTGATATAATATTACGTCAGGATACATCAGCATTATATAAATACTGACACTACTGACGTGTCAGTACTATTGTAGTATTATATCAATATTCTGTGCTATGTGGGGTCAAATTTTCGACCTGATCAAAAATTCAACAAATGTGCTTTTACCCAATCGTTCAGTTGTTCTAGGCTACGAAGGTGCTCAGATTGATTCATGTGGGTATGTGGTGCTAGATTGCAAAATTCCTAATCAAAATCAAATTCATAAACTGTACTTCACCGTTGTTAATACTGGCACTACTCCTCTTCTAGGTCTAAAGTCCTGCGTAGATTTAGGTTTTATCACCAGGAATCATGTGCATGCTCTAGTCAGAACCAAAAATCTAAATAAAGTCGTACAACGAAATCTTTCCCCAATTCCATCTTTTAGAGATAAAACCGGAAAAAGCTAATCACGCGTCAAAGTAAACTGTAGTATCTCTGATTCATTCTGCAATAAATTTCAAAGAAATTTCATGTTAATTGTAAGTGCTCTTCATCATTCTAAGTAATGTCACATTTATAAGTGACTAACAATTTGTTTACTCAATCTAATTAAGTCATGTTATACTTAACAATTAAATCCACATAACTGCGATTTACTAATTTCAATGGGATTCTGAACACAAATGCTTCAAATCTCTTAAATGTCTCTTGATTTCGGAATTGCAAATCATTTGATAGTTGTCTAATTTCAATTTCTCTCCATAACTGCGATTTAATTACTTCAACGGGATTCTGAACAAAAATGCTTCAAATCTCTCATGTCTCTCTTGATTTCGGAATTGCAAATCAATTGGAAAGTTGTTTAATGTCCTGGCTAATACATGTTAACTACAGCCTATGACTAAATACAGTTAATTTCAGTAATATTTGTCGATTTCAGAACTGCAAATCGTTCAAATCTATGTGAACTCATAAGCATTATAACTTCAACCAAATTCTGAGTTCAAATGTCATAAATTGATTGGCTTCATAAATGCAAATTAATCGAATAAATACTGTGTCAGTTTTCTGTCAGTGTACAAGTTCTAATTCCTCAATTGTAACTTTTAAATCTTTTAAAAAACTATTCTTCATGTATAATTTTAAATTTCGCTGATGAAAATCGTACACCTCTGGAATATTTTTGACTTAGACTCTACTCCCTCAATTTCTTCGTTTGTGTTAGCAAAAGGGAGTAAAGTGTAAGAAAAAAAAAATAGAAATTGAAAACGGGGAGGTGTTGGATAGCCTGGGTTGGTTACCCAGCACAGGTTGGCAACACTGCCCTCAGAGGGTCAGGTGACCACAATCGTCATGACGTCAGCCATCATCATGTCGTGATACGAGTGTTACCGTGTCGGGTTCATTCCCCTTTTATTTTATAATAAATATGAATATCGTTTTAACCGAGTGTTTGCTTATTCAGATATGACCCACACTAAACAGTCACTCAATTGAGGAGAGTAATTGACTCATTCTACAAGAAGCTAGGAAGGCCACAAAATTTGTGAATTTGATTTTGTCTAAACTGTTTTGACTGAAGTGTTTGAATTTCAGTTTAAAGTCAGTAGCCTTTTCGATGTTACAAAATATAGTGCACTGATTTATGGCATTATTAAGTCCCATGCAGATAAGCACACGATTTCTCCTTGAAAAGGGGATGTCTTGATTGAACAGAGAGACGAACACTACATGAGGCCTTATACAGGGTGTCCGGAAGTTAACGTACTTAACTTTCGAGATCGATTTTTTGACTCAAAATATGACTATCTTTTCCTATACACACATGCCCGAAAACGCTTCATAAGTGAGTTAGGTATGCACTTCCGAAGTTGCCTTTTTTTTTCTTTCAAATTGATGTAGGTAACTCCTCGTTATTTCGTCATGAGTAGCTGAAACTTGGTGTAGGGGGGGTATTTTTTAGCGCACGGTTCATTTTTTGTGTTTTCAAGGACGTACGTCTTCGGGAAATGACGTAACGAGCATTCCCGAATTTTAAAATTGCGATAACTTTATTGGTAGATGATATTTGGAAAAACGGATTACACCACGTGAAAGAGCGCGGAAAATCAGGGCCTAAAATTACTGCACAAAATTTTTTAGAAAAGCGTCATTTCGACGCAACAGAGCTTCGAAAAAGTTTCAGATTTTCGAAGCTCCTTGCTGCGTAGGCAATTTTTAATGCAGGGACTGTTAGAAAATTGCCAACGGAGCAAAGGGCTTCAAAACTCCGAAGGATGAATCCGTCGTGATAGCTTCGGGATTTTTTAAATCATGTTTATATCATATTGGGACTTGCCATATTGCTAGCATATTGGTATCATGTTGGTCTTTTACTCCAAATTGATATCACGTTTATACCATGTTGACATCGTCTTGATACCAACATGGGCGTTTTAGACCATGTTTGTAACAACATGGTCTCAACATGTTACCAACATGTTCATTTTTAGCAGGGAACGATCCACCGGTAAGTATTTCCGTCTTGCTTTCCGTCAGAAGGTTACAGTAAAGTTACTGCGGAGTCCCTTCCGAACTGTTTCTCCAAACAAGGCTAACGTAAGCTTACTGCGGCAAAGTTTCTCAAAACCCTATTATAACCAACGTTACGGCAACCTTGACGCGCCAGGGGCAAAGGGCAACCAATGTATGGAACATCCTCATGGGGAACGACGGGAACCTCATGGACATGGATGGGGACCTCATGGGGATGGATGGAGACCCCATGAGGATCAATGGGGACCATAGGGGACCCCGCGGGAACTGATGGGGTGACGACCAAGGCTCAAAGGGCAACTAAGAGAGTTGAATAGAGAACTTAAGAAATTCCTAAGGGTCTGCTGGGAACCTAACAGGCAAATTCTCGCGACACAGCTCTTAAAAACTCACCGGGCAGACTTTCCGAGGTCGATT